ACACACACACACACACACACATACACACACACACACACATACACACACACACGCACGCGCACACACACACACACACACACACACACACACAAAAATCGTCTTTTAGTGGAGAGGTGCATAGTCCTAATAGCCACTCTATATTTAATACATTTAGTAATTCTTTCCATGTCAGATTTTCCATTTTTATTGGCAAATAATTTAGCTGATAGAGGAACTTAATCCTCAAATGTTTCAAGCAAGAACACATTGTATTCTAGCACGAGTCAAAACATGGTCGTCACCGAATTTACCAACATCGGTTTGAACCTGCCTCTGTGCAGAGACACACCAGGTGCCGTGCAGATTTATGTCGGTCACAAAAATGGAGTCCCAGCTGATGAACAAGATTGCGCATATAAAATACAACAGAAAGCTGTGACGTGGAGGGTTCAGTCCCTCTTTAAATTAAGGAAGCACAAAGACGTCACGTACCTCCACAATGCCGTGTCTGATGGTGCCGTACTGCCTCTTCCGCAGCAGCACCAGACTGATTATGATCACCGTCGCTATGGCAACCGCGATCACCAGCAGGCCGATCAGAACGCTGCTGCCGAAGCTGAAGTCCTCGCCCAGGGGCCTGTAGGTCTCCTGGTTGGAGGGAGTGGGGGGGATCAACTTCCATATTTAGTTTCTTGTTCTTACAAAATGTCTTGTTCTTACAAAATGTCCATCAAGAAGTACACCACAATATGTAGCGATATACTCGTGTGTTGTCTCGTGTGGGTCTTTTGGAGCCTTATTCCACAAAGAAGAATCATGAAACCTCATATGTTGGGACTATTGTAAACAGAGGACCACACGTATTTGCTATTTTTTAGATCCCGCCCACCCCAATAATAAATCAGAATTTAATTCTGATTTATTTACAATTATTGTTGTAATTCTTATTTTTCTGCATATATTACATAATATATGTGTAATATTTTGTCCAGCAATTCTATTATTTTGTATTTTTCATATGTTAAGAATGTAACTACAGTATATCCTAACGTGACATCTCACGATACAGTAATTATCACAATATTGTGGGGAACATCTTGGGCCCAAGTCTCCAGGATGGCATGTGCAAGGGCCACTGGGACCAAACACTATCACTTCTGTCTTCTTTTCATTGAATTTCAAGAAACAATAATTCATGCCTTCGTCACATCCCGGCTGGATTACTGTAATGCACTTTACTTTGGAGTTAGCCAATCCTCCATTTCGCGTCTCCAGTTGGTCCAAAATGCTGCTGCTCGCTCGCCTCTTGACTGGCACTCGTAAGAGGGAGCACATAACTCCTACTCTCATATCCCTTCACTGGCTCCCTAAACATTTTGAGAGTTATTTTAAAGATTCTTTGATTTGTTTTCAAATCTTTAAATAGCCTCGCCCCACCTTACCTCTCTGAGCACCTCTACCCCTACGTACCTGCCTAGTGCCTCAGGTCTGCAGACTAGACACTATTAGAGGTACCAAGAACTAAGCGGAAGCTCAAAGGGGATCGAGCCTTTTCTGTTACTGGTCCCTCTCTTTGGAATGACCTCCCACTGAACATTCAGCAAGCTCCCTCGCTGCCCATCCTGAAAACTGATTTTAGTTTTACTTTTTTTGTGCTTTCTACTGTCTTCGGTATTCATTTATTGTTTTATTGTTTATTGTTGTATGTATGATATTATGATATTCGCCCCACGTACAGCACTTTTTATACAGCGGTGGTTGTTTTCAAGTGCTCTATAAATACAGTTGAGTTGAGTGACAAAGAAATAGGAGTGGATGATCTCTTTATTGTCAATTTGTCCAATTGGCTCAGCGGTGCAAAGTATCATGGTCTTCGTCGTTCACAATGCTGCGTTCGGCTGACTACACTTCATATTGAGGCACTTACTTGCGAATGCATGCACAAATTGCCAATCAAGTCAATTTGTGGAGGAACTCAAATGCGTTATGTTCCTCTTCATTTGGCGATTAGCGTGGGTTCTAAACGTAGGTTGTCAAAACATGCCAAATTCATTTTAAACTGCTCCAACAAAAGTAACTACCAGAGGATTCTGGAATTGCACAAAAAAATAATAACCTGCCGTATTAAACAGATGTGGTGCTTTTAATATCATGACATGACGGCAATAATATCGTGGCAATTTTAACATCACTATATCGCGATATTGCCATTATCGTTACCAATCGTTATTATGTTTGACCATTTTTTTACCATCTCCCCCATATATATATTTTTTAATTATTTGTTGATTTTCCATCTCATATGGTTGCAGTTTTTGTCTCACTTTCAAAATTATTTGTTTCTGATATTGAGCAAATTTTACATGGTAATGCTTTGTATTTTACATCTAGTCATGTTCTATTTTTTTGTTTGACCTTTTTCCTCACAACATAAATACAGTACATACAGTAAATAGGGCGTAAACGTAGAGCCTTGCTGGAAATCAAAGTGTGTCTTGCTGCAAAAATTGTGTACTTGGACTGAATAGGAAACAATGCAGGTGTGTGTGCGTGTGTGTGTGTTTTGTGTGAAAGACGTCCGCTCGTTTCAATGCAAAGTCACAACAAGTCTCCTACAGTCGCCATCTGGCACATATGACATCGTCATATGTGGTGTCACATGACCCAACAAGTCAGGTGTGCATTACATTCGCATAAAGAGCATGCACACATGCACAAACCAGCACCATGTACTAGCCTGAACAAAATAACAACAACAACAACAACAACAATAATAAGAATAATCAATAACAAGGAGATGTGAATTAATAATAATAAGAATAATCAATAACAAGGAGATGTGAATTTAGTTTTGGGTTGCTGAAAATCTGTTGTATTTTTACGACAGTGAAACCAGTGAAATGCCCGTGCAATCGCAATCATTCAGTTAATTTGGGGGAAAAATTATGGCATCTGATGTGGGCAAAGCGTGACGTCAAGGTGTAACTTGACAAATATTTGATAAAATAGACCAATGTCCAAAACTGAACAGGAAGTCAGCTATTTTGTTAGAAGCAGCCATTTTGGGCAAATTCCAGACCTCGTCCTCTGTATGAAAGTTAGAAGAATCGGACTCTCATGACTTTTGAGGTTTCCGCTGCACATCCAAGTTCAAAGTCACATTGGTTACTTTCCACTAAGGACTACTGAGCACCCTATGGCGCTGCAAGTTGCCCACAGAGGCCTGTGGTGGACGGTGGGGGGGCGCCGCCATACTCACCAGCTCATCATCATGCAAAATGTGGAGTCTCTCTGCACTGTAAACAACTTCTTTAACATCCAGAGACTCATCAATCACCTGTCAACACAGACAGGGCAGCCCGGGTTACTGTACGTGTGTATATGTATCTGTGTGTGTGTGTGTGTGTGTGTGTGTGTGTGTGGGTGTCTGTGTGTGTGTGTGTGTGTGTGTTTGTGTGCGGAGGCATGTGTATGTGAGAGAGAGAGAGAGAGAGAGAGAGAGAGAGAGAGAGAGAGAGAGAGAGAGAGACAGGTCGAGAGCTTGCACAGTAAAGTGGAGGGATTATCAGTGCGTGGGTGATGATGCTATCTGGGGCAAGCTGGAAGTAGAGTGCATGTGTGAGTGCGCGTGTCTGCATATATGAACGTTAAAAACAGTCCCCGGCACACACACACACACACACACACACACACACACACACACACACACACACATACATATTTTTCATTACTGAGAGCACAAATCTTCAGAGGAGGCGCTGCCTGTGACAGGATGATGATGTTCTCTGTCTTGAGCACACAAACATTGCCACAAAAAGACACACACACATAGATGCATGCGACAGACACAGGCAAACTGCTTGTAGACTACGGGTCTCATGTTCTCAAACATTTTAGTTCCAGGTCGAATTTTTTTTCAAGACCCCCACCCCACCCACTCCAAAAATGTGTACATGTATCCTTATTACATTTTTAAGAAATCATTGTAGCCGAGGAAATTATACTTTTATTATTTCGTTGTACACCTTTTCCTCTCGCAAAAATTAGGATTTTATTATTTATTCCTAATAATATGTGATGGTATGTCACAATTGTATCAGAACGTTTAATTGGACCAAAGCTAAGGTAAGGAGGAGTAATTGGTTCATGAAGTTTGGTTTACTGGTCCCGATATGCAGCTATGCACTTCTTTCAAACGACAATTGATTGCACACTCTTTCGCCAACCCCCAAGCTACAGCTGGTGAAACCCAGTTTGAGAACCGCCATTTTTCAGGCTTGTTAGCATGCCACATACACAGACACACACACTGACACAGACACACACATGGACACACATGCAGCAGCCAAACACATGGAGACAGGTCGCATGCGGTCTAACAAAGCCCGGAGCGGATTGTCGGCAGGACGCGCAAATAGCACGGTTCCAGTTTGCTGCAAAATAGTTCACTTTGGAGAGTTTTGTGCGTGTGCGTGTGTGTGTGTGAGTGTGTGTGTGTGTGTGTGTGTGTGTGTGTGTGTGTGTGTGTGTGTTGTCTTCAGAAATCAGGGTGACATCAGGTCACGTGAAAGACTGAGTACCATGTTAAAGCTAAACTTGAACTTTAGTGACCCAATGCTGAGTGTAGAAAATGTAAGGAATGTGCTTTTGAACATTTTTTATTGAGAACAAATTTAAAGTATACATATATTTATATTGGGCGGCCCGGTGGTCCAGTGGTTAGCGCATTGACCTAACAGTGCAGAGGTACTGGGTTCAATTCCAGCGCCAGCCTCCCTGTGTGGAGTTTGCATGTTCGGCCTGTGTGGGTTTTCTCCGGGTACTCCGGTTTCCTCCCACATTCCAAAAACATGCACGGCAGTTTAATGGAACACTCTAAATTGTCCCTAGGTGTGAGTGTGAGCGCGGATGGTTGTTCGTCTCTGTGTGCCCTGCGATTGGCTGGCAACCAGTTCAGGGTGTCCACCGCCTTCTGCCCAAAGACGGCCGGGATAGGCTCCAGCACCCCCCGCAACCCTTGTGAGGATAAGCGGATCGGAAAATGGATGGTTGGATATATTTATATCGTGCTTAAAGTTTATTTACATTGCTTTGTTTTTCAGTGCATGGTGTTTTCTGATGATTGAAAATTACTTGTAGTTCGTATTTTTGATGAACACTTGTATGTATTTTATTGTTGGTCATTGTGGCGGTACATGGAGGGTGAAATATTTTTGTGGTGGTACTTGCTGTAAAAAATTTTGAGAACTCCTCCAACTCTGGTAGCTTCCTATTATTTAAATTATAATAATTGCAATGTTTATTTTTCTTTACAATATTTTAAAAGCAGAAATAGATTATGCTTAAAATTCTTCTTTGGAGATTTTGTACAACTTTTGAAATAATAATGTGCATGAATAGGATATACAGCTATACTGTTTTTTTCTTTCATTATAACGTTTTCATTATTATCGTTACTGCTCTTTGTTGATTGGCTGCGATAAATCACATGCTTCAATGGCCTCTGGTCACGTGTATTTTTCAGTCACTACAATGATACCAGATGTATAATTATGATCTACCGGTGTCATAAAGCCTAATTTAATTCTATTAAGTATCATTAAGGGTCTTTGCTGATGGGCTGGGATTCATCGTCATGGTTATACGGCTTTGTTGTGAGGCATTAGACGTTAATTTTGACGTATGCGGCCTTTAAATAACAACAAAGTGATAAGTCCAACACTCTGCTCGTGATTAGCAGCTTATGGTGAAAAACTATCATTGTGTTAGAAAATATTTATTAGAGTAACCTTGTTGTAAAGTGGTACAAATAGGAATGTTCGATACCACTTTTTTTCCCAGCCCAAGACCAGTACTCTTTGAGTACTCGCCAATACCGAGAACCGATACCTTTGTACAGTCAAACCTCGGTTTTCGAACGTCTCTGTTCTCGACCAAATCGGTTTTCGACCAAAAATTTCGAGTTTTTTTTATGCCTCGGATTACGACCGAAAATCGTTTCTCGACCAAACTGAGCGCACTTGAATGCGCCACTTGACTCCTCTCGCCTTCCTTACACAAGGAAGTGACACTTCCTCAGGTAGAAGAGAAAGTGACGCTTCCTTGTGTAGCGTTCCATTGTGAGCAGACGTGTTCAATAAAGATTTTTTTTAAAAAAAAATAGCGTGGTTTCGATTTTCAAACAAATCGGTTTTCGAACAGCCTTCTGGAACGGGTTATGGTCGAAAACCGAGGTATGACTGTACTTAAAATTGTAAATAAAAAGACCTTTCTTTCAGATGCAGATGATGATTTGCCGATGTATCATAGTCTCGGAGTACAGCGCCAACTACGTGAAGAGGATTTACTCGATGTCAGCTTTATTTTGCCTTAATTACTGGTGGCTGGTATCAGCAGCCTCCAGGAGTACCTTAAAATAAGGCTGGTATCGGCCCGATAGGGATACCAGATATCTACCTGCCCATCCCTACTAATATTTGGCATCAACATGGCCACTCTTACTTGTGAATGTGTGGAGTTAAGTAAATAGAAATAAGAAAAAAAAAATGCTGTTCTTACCACGTTGGGTCCCATTTTGGTCTTGCTGTTGATGATTCTCTCCTCGGCGCCAATCAGACCGTCTAAGCCGGACACGGCGGAGCCTGTGAGGGCGAGACGGAGGACTTAGCGCAGACCGTTAAAACATAAATCAAAATCATCACGCGCATGCTCGACTTGTCTCCGCAGCGCACGGAGGAGGATGACAATAAAAGCCTTTCACGGGTTCAGCACAATGCAACGACTGTATTGCCTATTGCCTGGCACAAAGGCCTATCAAAACGGTATGCAGTGGATCATGGTTGACAAAAACAAACAAAAAATAAAATACATTACACAAGAGATTCTGATGATTAAAATGTATTAAATGTGTACAGATTGCTCGGGATGTAATTTGGTAGTTGAACAGTTTTGCGCTGACCAACCGCAGGATGAAAAAAATGCAGATTATTACTTATTTTTACTTATTACTTATTTTTAGCTGTGTGTGTTTTTAATGCACTGCATGTTTGCACTGTGGTTGAGAGGAAAGAAATTTCATCTGTGCTGTATGTTGTACATAGAGCATATTTGACAATAAAGCTGACTTTGACTTTGACAGATGTTACTGTCCCACGGTGAATAAAATTGAATTATCTGGGCTAGTCCTACTGATTCTGGAGGCGCTGGGCAGATTAGATTGCCATGGCAACACACAGAGGCTGAAATCTGATTGGACAAAACATTCCAACATCCAACTCCATGCACTGGATGCAGGTCAGCCAAGAGAAATGCCATGAAATGAAGAGATTAGACTGTTGGCAATCAAGTATGACAACTTCATAGAAGAACAAATTGTTACAGTAGTCTAAAAGCATGACTCCTTGAATCATTTTAAAATGGTTTCAGAAAGCAACAAAGAAAACACAACCAATTCCAGAATCCACTTGCCTTGACATGGATGACTGAATCTATGCTTGGATGCTATCTGTTAGCATTTTAGCCATTGTCATTCGACCTCGTACTCTACTTCCAGGACAGGATGTAAAACATGTATAAAACGCTGTTTTCACTGTTGAAAGCACAACCCTTTATCCAAATTGCGGCAGAAAGGCAAGGATGAGAAACACGACAGAAGAAAATGTGGAAATCAGAAGGGAAGGAAGACGCCACATTGGGCACCAACCTTTCTTGAAGGCTCGCTGCGGGTCGGACAGATCGCCTTGTTGTTAACACAAGATGGAAAATAAAGAAGAACAAAGAGGAAGAAGAGAAAAGTTAATGAGTGAAGAAAAAGGCAAGATAAAGATATTAAGCTATGCTGTGATGAGGCAAAAGAATGACAGAGTGTTCAGAGGGACACAAAAAAATGCTAACAGTGTGAATAAAGTTGAAGTGTTGAAATTCACTGACTGACTCTCCCTTCTCATTAATTGTGAATTTAATGACACCATTTTTCAAATTTATTTTGAACATCGTAACTAAAAATTGTGAGCTAATTATAACATCAATATGACTTTTTCTCAAAATTAGACAACTTTTTACTTCCTGTGGCATGGTAATAATGTTGAATTGGCATTAGGATTTTGAAGAGGTTCTTGCGTCCCTGGACCCAACAGAGCCACATCAGGTCAACCACGCTCACCTTCTGGCTCCGGGCGGGATCCCAAAGAAGTGACCTGGATGGGCCGGTAGGGTTTCCCCTCGGACACGACGGGCACCTCCACGTTCTCCTCCGAGGACACGGTGACGTCGGGCTGGGATTCGGAGATGGACGACAGGAATTGGTCCATGTTGGCTTTCTGCTCCTGCAGCAGCTCACCTGGCACATTAAAAAAATAATAACAAATTATGGAGATGTTCTCCACAGCCCCAGACACGAGATGCAGATCTTTAAATTTCACCATCATTAGTGTGAGCAAAATGTTCCCAAAACTCAAAACACCTGATCCCCATTCTCTGCGAACTAGCAATTAGCGTTTGTCTGTGTGTTTTTTCCGAGGGAGTCTCCCAGCAGGAAGCCGCTCAAACATGACCCAATTCTGTCAGCGCACTCGCTCGGCTTTCATCTCGACGTCGACACAGCGCGACTTTCATCGATACATCCATGCTCAATCTTCCGCAGCACTGAGAAAGAACAACACATTTAACCGCTGACCTCGGCTTCCTTATTATTAATCAGTATTTTTTTTTTTTTGCCTTGATAACAGGGATTTTGCAATACTGTTTATATAACAGAAACGCCAATGACATGCCAATAGCCAGCACTGATAGTCAGTTTTAAAACCCTTTAAGCAAGGGATATTTGATCACAAATGGTTGAGCAACACATGTAGACAGATACTATAACAACATTGGCAAAAATCTGTTGATTTATTTATAAAAAGCGCTAATATCGGCAAATGAATCGTTCAGGCCCTATTTTTTGGAAACAAATTCATTATGAAGTATACATTCAGTAGTTTCTAAACATTTTATGCTTGCCATTTTTGTCTGTGTGTTCAAATACATTTACAATGTATTTAAAAAGTGTTTTTCAAGCTGTTTAACTGTGTGGGAGGAGGAAACGTAACAAAAATATTTTCAATTTCTTGCTGATTTTCCTTTTGTAGGTGGGGCTGGAATGCCCCCCTGTGATCATCCCGGTTCCTTCTGAGGAACTCACCGATTTCATCCTGGATCTCCTCGGCCACGTAGGGGACCTTGTAGAGCAGGGATAGGCTCTGGTTCATCCTCTCTTCGATCACATGCAGGTGAGTCATCACCTGACAAATCGGAAAAGAGACAGGAAGTCAACGATGACATGTTTAAGACACACACAAACACATCTTGTGGCAGTGAGTCTAATATGGAAATTACGCCACGTCTGAATCACTCCACAACATCCTCTAGGCTCTCGGTCTTAATAAGCATCGTGTGCTCACGCACGCACGAAATGTTCGAAGGTGCATGCAAGAAACAACACTGCCAAGAGGTGGCGCTAATAAGCCATTCCTCCACGTGCCACATGGTCTTTCCTTGCCATTCTGTATGCTGCAGGGGTGTAAAACTGCAGCATTCAAGATCTGCTTCAAATTTTTTGGAAACCCTAATCCTGTGTTGATATCCTAGCTGTAATTTGAAACTCTCAATTTGAAATTATATCTTTAAAAACCCTATTCCTGTACCTGTATTCAAATTGTGATTTGAAATCACAACCCCAACTTTACATCCTGACCCTCACTTCAAACCATACTTTAAAAGATGAACTCTTATTTGAAACCCTAACTGAGGACTGAGACCCTAAAAAAATAGAAACTTGGCTGGAAACCTTACTCTAAAACCCTGTTAGTGTTTTGAAACGTGTTTTTTTTTTAAACATATTTATTCCTTGAAAACCTAGTTTTGAAAATCCAAACCCTGGCTTGAAACCCCAAGCCTTGATTAAAACCCTAACCATATTGTTTGAAGCCAAGGTTAGGGTTTGAAGTCAAGGTTTTAAGGCTGGGTTAGAGTTTCAAATAAGAGTTAGACAATTAAATGGGGGTCTCAAGACTGAGTCATCTCTTGCTAAACTTTCAATCTAAACTTAGGGTTTGAAGTTAGGGTTTTAAACCTTAGTAAGGGTTTCAGACAATAGTATGGCTTTCAAATTAGGGTTCTCATCTAAATTAGGGTTTCAAATTATACCATCAGGCCAGGGTTGAGGTTTTAAACTGGGATTATGGATTGAAAATGTAACAGAAAAACAGCCTGACAAAACGCAGATCCGTAAATCTATTACACCGCATATCTATTTATAGCATAGCATGCTTTCGAAACGCAAATGTCCACACTGGAAATGGAATTTGGAGACAAGCCAACGCACATTAAACGCAAGAATAATAACACACAGACAGACTCACACACTGTTACACAAGCCCCGCAAGTCTAAGCGTGATCGTTGCCCGGCCAAACGAGCCTCCTCACTTCACCCCCACTCCAAGATGACACACGGTGATGCCTGCATCCCAACACACTCTTTTGCCAGCTCTGGCGTGTATTGACACAATCTCAGCCGGTCTGCGATGTTACCTTAGTGCGGCGGAGAACAGATTAATTGACTGCATGTGGTATAGGACATTCCAAGCTTTGCAAATGTATGTTATGGCCATTTTATTTTTACATGTCATATTTGGGGCTGGCAAGATTATTCGTTTTCTGCTTCACAATGATTTGATGGAGTCACGAGTGAGTCAGCAGCTACAAGGTACTGGTTGTTTTCCACACACCTCTGTCTGCGTGTCTTCACTTGAGTTCACACTCATGTTGTAACCCAGCATTAGCCGACCTGCATTCACCCAAGATCACCTTTTGAAAAATATCATTCATACACGACTAATAAACTGAGGTCATAAACTGTGCTTGTCTCCCAGGTAACTCAGGGCAGAAAGCGGACGACAGTCAGTCGCTCGTCAGTTGCAGGGCAGAAATCTTAAACCTATCATGAAATTTTAACCCTTCATTTGACCATCTAAAGCAGGTCTGAAACCCTACCATGAGACCTTAAAGGTGACTCAAAACCCTACTTTGAAACTCTATTCCATGTTTGAAATCTCAAGCATTTGTTGGAACCCTACTTTGAAACCTTAACCTTTATTTTAAAATTGAAACTCGAAACTTGACATGGAACTCTACTTTACTACCCTGATCCTGAAGTGAAATCCGAACTTGACCCGAGGTTAACTATAGATAGATGTAATCATTCCGGAAGGTTGAAGGGGACGCATGCCTGGATGACATTTTTACTTTTGTTATGACTATTTGCTCCAAGAATTACCCAATTTGTTTTGGCAATATTATTTCCTCGAAAGTGTTTCAGCAGGTCTGAATCATCTGGCAATTAAAATCGACAATAATAAAATCCGTGCAGTCAATAATGGCCTGGCGTCTCAAAAACAAAGAAAGAATCTTCTTTTTGGTGTCAGTGATTTCTTTCTGGCCAGCGGTCAAGTGTGATCGTCTCTGCTGAATGTGAGGGTCTCGTTTCATTTGGACTGAACAAACTTGATAAACGACACGCACACAAATATCTTTTCTCTCAAATGTATTTACGGCACTTTGATGACGTGTTACTTCTCAGTCCACGGGTCCAAGCGCAAAGTTCAATTTATTGGGATGAATGGTGTCCGAAAACCTGGTGGTGACGAGGTGCACACAGCAACATCTGTTCATTGAAAAAGATCGCATGTGGAAAAAAAAAAAGAAGACGCTAAAACTTTTTTTTTTCTTTCATGCTCCAAAACAATGTCTACTCTCCAACAGAGCATGTAAAATCTCCGTTGGAGGAAAAAAAACAAAACAAAAAAAAAACCCCAAAACAGCAATCATACAAAATGACAAATCAGATTTCAATGATTTTACAATCTTTCATAGCTTTTACTGAATGGGGACGCCCCCCTGCCATTTCAAACAATTGTGGGAGCGACCATCATCACTCGCTTTCAGTCTTAACCCGAGGTCGTGGGATGATTTTCAGAGGAATTGCACACCTTGTGGAGAAATAAGGAACTGTTTTCACCGGCTTAAGCACGCAAACCTCTCTGATGATTTCGGTGTTTGTACGAGCGTCAGAGAATACAATCGCTTTGTGTGTTGCGGACACGCGAATCCTCTGCAGTTTTTCTGGTGGGTTCCAGGCTTGAAGTGGTCGAATTTTGTATTTCCCGTCACAAAATTGAATGACCGTTTTTCGATTAAAAAAAAAGTCTCGCCACTTCAGCCCCACTTTCCAATCGGTGTTGTCTCCCACCTCCACCTCCACTTCCCACCTGTTAGTTGGGCACAAAACAGAAGCCACCACTTTGTGGGACTTGTGATTTCGCTCCGGGTTCTTTGGACGGCACTGTCCGACTTGAAAACTCACAGCGGTCAGATCTTCAGACAGTGTGAGTTCCGGGCCGGCCGTGTTGGGATCCAGAATGAGGGGACTGAAGTGGACCGTGTCCTTCACTCGCTCCCACACGTTGAACTTGAGGTTTCCCACGTGTTTGGGTTCGTCCAGCAGCGCTCCTTTGGGTAGCTGGGCCCCGTCGGGCCCTTGCTGGAATCTGGCCATGGTGCCCCGGTAGTTGTTCATGAAGGAAAGGGGGTCAGAGGTCAGCAGCTGCTCCGTGGTTGCGATCGTGTCTGAGAGAGCGGTGATGTCTCGTCCGAGAGCCTCCATTTTCTCCTTCAACATCCGACTCTTCTGCCGCTCTTCCTCTCTCAAAGCAGACAATCTGGCCTCCTCCTCCAACTGCAGAGAGGCATGCAGCTCCTCAAAATCCTTCTGAATCTTTCTTTCAATCCGCTCCCTTTGGACTTGGATGTACTCTGCTTGCTCGTTGTAGTTCTCTCTCAGGTTGATATAATGCTGCAAGGTTTTCTTCACGCCCAGCAGGGCTTCCTGGACTTGGCCTCTGCGATCTTGCGCGGCTTCATCGAGGGGACAAAACTTGTGGCCGGCGTGGATTTTCGCATCTCTGCAGACGAGGCACACCGACTCCTCGTGGTCCAAACAGTAGAGTCTCAGTTTCTCCTTGTGCGTCCCGCAGAGGTCCTGGGGGCCCACCGAGGCTTGCGAAAAGGCCTCGCACACATTCTTCAGTGCCAAGTTCAAAGGTGGGTCCATCGAGGCAAACTCCGCACGACAGACCGGACACGACAGATCTCCTTTCTCCCTCCGCCACTGCCGCAAGCACGCGGAACAAAAGCTGTGACTGCACGGCAGCAGGACGGGATCTCGAAAGATTTCCAAGCAGAGCGGACATTGGAGATTGTCCTCAACTTGGCTGGCCATGGTTCTTGTGAGGACGCCGTCTGTCTCAACGTTTGAGCATTCACTCTCCGAAGAGCCGCAGTGCCCTCCGACCTTCGGTCACGAGGATAATTTGAATTGTTTTATAGCCAGAAAGTACAAAAGTCCATTTCCTGCTCGCTGGAGCTAAGCTTCTCTTTTTCAGACTTCAACTGAAACAAAAACATTTCTGCGAGCTCTTGAAAACGTTTTTTATCGATTTTTTTTCTTGAACTGAACTTCATTTTCAAGCCGTCTTTTATTTCTGTCCTTGGCGTGTGAAAGTTCTGTTTTAAATGCTTTTAGATAGTTTGAATTGAATCAGGTGAAGTACATTCAGTCAGACAGTGATCATTTTACAGTTTGAGCCCCTGCGAGTCCTAGGAACTCTCTGATCAGAAAAGTATGAGTCCCATTCTGCATTTAGAGCAGGGGTGTCAAACTCATTTCACATTGTGGGCCACATACGGCCTCGGTAGATGTCAAGTGGGCCGGACCATTAAAGTTATACCATACTCTGCTATAAATAACCAAAATAATGTATTTCCTTTGCTTTGGTCTAAGGAAGCACAAGAACATTAGGAAAATGTTGAAATTTAATAAACAGATCTTTTACAAAACATGAAGCTCCTTAGATTTCCTTAGACAAATGTGCAATTTACTTTTATCATTCACATATATGTATTGCAACTATCCCACTGATTGTACAAACGCACACAACTTTAACAAGTAATTGGTATTGAAAAATATAGTAATGCACTTTTAATATTAAACGAGATTTATAAAGAAAGGAATGTTTAAACCATTTACACGTGCAGAGAAAATCTAAATGTAATCCCTGCCTAAACCTTACAAACTAAAGAGAGTGCTATTAAATGTGTAAAGAATCAAGTATTCACATGTCCTTGATAGCGTCTCCTGTGTTGGGTCTGTCTCAGTGACAGACTGAGGCTGCTGTTGTCTTCTTCTCTGATCAAAACAATGTTGTCTTTTACTC